GTTCTTCCAGCTTTTCTGCAGGACCATTGCGGGGCTGAGCTACATCAGGATGCTAGCCTCTTTGCCAGCACTGGACCAGTGCTTCCCAAACTTTAATGAGCCTGTGAATTAAAATGAAGATTCGTATTTAATAGGCTAGACCTGAGATTCTGCAAGCTAAACACCTTCCCAGGTTCTGCTGAAGCCCTGCAGCTGACCCTCTGATCTGTCCAGAGCAGCAGGAATCCACAAACCTCATCTATAACCTCTAACTGGTCATGTCTTTCTATAAGCAAAGATCTCTTGAGCACAAGGAGACACTTTCTGCTTTGGGTGGCGTCAGCAACTGGAGTGAAGGTGTCCCTTGGGCTACTGTGCCTTTCCAGGAAACTCAATTCCACAGACTCAGAAAACACAGAATGAAGGGACTGCTTTGATTTAGAGTTTGGAGCCTCGGGAAAGATCAGCTCTTGGACTTCTTCAGGTTCACTTTACTAGCAGACTAGAAAAGTGGGGACCAATTGACCTGTTCTGTTTAAGTCTATGCCAGTCTGCCTTGCTTTGCCCCCCATCCCCTCCCCCTGCAGATCCTGAGCTAGAACAAAACTTGAGTGGTTCTCTTTAATGGTAATATTAGGGTGTTCAGTAAGACTGACAGGTTATGAACACTGGGCCTTTGGGGAGCAAGAGACCACAGGCATTTTTTTGTATTGAGTGATGTTTGGGGTGAAGTTGGAAATACTACCATGTGGTTCAACTGGAATCCCCCCTACCCCTTGTCTACTGCCCTCCAAAGCTTTGAAGGCACTTTCATTATTAGGAATATTCACCTTCCCCATGAAAGTGAGAGAAGAGATTCACAAAACCAGGTACAAGGGTTCAGTCTTGGAAATAAGGAAGTCACATCCTTGTCCGCTCTCAGCTACCCCAGAAACATCCTTAAGAGCATGTGGTACCTGGTCCTATAACTGAATAGTAGATTACAAAACAAGGGCTTTTATCTCTTGGTGCACTGTTATATTCAACAACTTAAGGCAGGTTTCTACTTAATAGTAGATATCATTTTCCCCGGGCTTGATTTCAGTTCACACCGTACTCTGAAAGCAGTAGCCACCATGTCAAAACAGAATCATGAGATGCTGACGAGATGGCTTAGTGGTTGAGAGTGTGTGTTGTTCTTCAGAGAGAGGACTTAGGTTCCATCCCCAGCACCCACAGAAGGTCGCTCACAACCACCTGTAACTCCAGTTCCAGTGGATCTGATGCTCTTTTTTGTCCTCTTGCATGTGGTGTGCATACAGGCATGCAAGGACATAAATACACAGAAATAAACAAATCTTTTAGAAATGATAGAGTCATGGGATAAAAGGATGGTTATTTTTCTCCCTCAATGTTCCTATGATAAAGGAGAAATATATCTTGGAGTGTCATGCTCTCTTTTTCCATTCCTAGGACGATGAACTCTAGATCCATCTATCTCAAAGTTGCTCAAATAGCCCTAACTTCCCCCTCCCAACTCCATTTCTACCCCATGATTATTTGTAAACATATTTTCTATTCTTTATTTTCTCATATGTGAACTTGAACACATGCAAAAACCAGAAAAATATTTTGATAATTTAATTGTTAAGAGTTTGATTTGAAATACTGAAAATTAAACACAAAATAGCTTTCTGCTTACACATGAAGATTGTGTCTATACCAGTCATTCTACTGGCTATACAGGACAGTTAACATGGCCGACTTACATTCATTTGGAAGTATACAGCATCAAATTATGGATGAATGATGGTTCTTCTGTGGTTATTGCTCTTCAAGAAGTACTAAGTTATCTTTTTGTTCTGTCACTTCTTGAGAGATTACCTCTAGAACACTGATGAAGCACCAGCACCCATGGGCGGGAAAGCATGGAAGCAGGGGGAGCAAAGGTAAAGGCCAAGCTACGATGAAGCAAATGGTAGTCTTGGCCAGCCCACAGGGGCCTCAGGTGCTACGGTGACTCTTCAGAACTGCTGTGAGCTGGTCTGACATAATCAGACCTTTCTACCTCCAGATGAGTTAGTAAGTGAGGCCTGGTCCTGGGACAGTCATGAGCTGCATGCAGGAAGCCCTCTGGAACTGTTGGCATTTCCTGAAGGGGGTGAGAGCTAAGGGCCTTCTCTAGCTGGGACTATGAGTTCTCTTGGAACTGGGCAAAACATTGCCTTGCCAATCACACTGATACATTTACTAAAGACAACACTCTGGATATACAAAAGAGTGTGCTCTACTAATTTGTCAGAGGGATTACAGACAAATAATAGATCTTTCCTTTGGCTCTGAGCCTTAAATTCAGAAAATAACCAGTGATCAGCAATTGAGAATGAGTTATCAAAGTAGGTGTCTAGCTCAACGCATCTTTTGTATGGGAGGAGCTGAATTATGATGTATTATGCCTGCATGTGTTCATTCTCCACATTAAAGATGTGATATTTATTCCCTACTAATAAACACAATATTTGTAAGTTGCAATTTTAAGGGAAAAATGATAATAATAAATCTAATAAATTAGTAGCTAGAAGAGTAATTTTAAATGAAACAGAGCTACTAATTATTAAGGATCAAATTTTTATGCTTTGAAGAATATTTTTTATACACCCACTTCCCAGGTAGCACCCTCCCATAGCCTCCCTCCCCCCACTAGAGCCTTTAATACTCTGATATCCCTGCTACTATCTGCTGTGTTGTCGGCATCCCAGCCATTCCCCACTACTTGCCCTTCTGGTAAATCTAGTCAGTCTATCTAGAGGTCTTTGTTTTAGGAGGGTCAGCTGTTCCTCATCTAGCAGAAATCACTTGTCAATATTCCTTTAGATAAGATTGGGGTCTGCTGTTCATTTTCCCAGTTCTATGCTGGGTTACTAAATGGGAGTCCCTTGGGCCACCCTGGCTAACAACTCAAAAGAAAGTATCTCCTATCTGGCATTGTTGCTTGTTAAGCAGCCTTTAACTATACATATGGACTCTTAAAAATTATATTGGGACTCTCCCGCCCTCAGGCCTCTCTGGGGGTAAGTCTACCATGCAGTCCTCTGCGCCTTGACTCCGAAAATGAATTTTTCTGTATGAAACTGTGTATTTTAATAATGAAATGGGGATCTTTTTCAAGGTTTAAAACCTCATTTAATTTTATCTCTTATAGATTTTATACGGAGTACAACATTGTATAACTGTATTAATTCAACAGTAAACCTAATAATTTACAGCCAGTTTTGAAAGAGAAGCATCTTAGCTCTGGAAATTGTTATTGAATATGTCAATGCTGTTGTAATGAAATGCCTCTTCTAATCATATGGTTATGAAATAAATAATTTAAAAAAATAAAAAAATAAAAATAAAACAGAGCTATTGGCTAGTCAATATTTCATGGAAATTAATTTCAGTCAACCTTATTAAAATCAAAAGCTGAGCAGATATTCCTGAGGAGCAAAGCGCTGTAGACGGGTAGAGGGAAAGAGTTAAGATGAAGCATTAAATAAGATCCAGATGGCTCCAGCTTGCTTGCTCCATCTTTCTTTTGCTATCTATCAGCAAATAGCTGGTATCCCTGAAAGATGAAATAAGACAGTAACAGAGCCAACACAGACTGTGTAAATGTACAAGACACTTGCTTAGATAACAGGTAGTGATGGCAGAGATGATGCTTCAAGAAACATAAAGAAGAAAAGTATATGAAGAACGTACGGAGGAAGAAGAGTTGCTCCCAGGAAACAAGAAAAGTTCAGTAACAATTTTCCCATAGTTTGAAGAAATTAAAGATGATACAATCTAAATATTTTTAAGCCACCACAATATACAAAAGATTTAAAGAAGAGACCATAGAATTAAAATGAGAAACTTGCAGAGTTGGGAGGGAAATGGAAGTCGTTAAGTCAAGAAGATAAAAGATTAGGAAACAAAGACCAAGCACAGTGGTAGGTGGATAGGCATAAGGGCACTAGCAAATTTGATAGAAAAACAGCTATAGGAAAACTATATGGAAAAAAAGCAAAGGACATGGCTTACAGCCCCTTGTAAGAGCCAACTGGGCCCAAGTACTTCCTGTAACCCCACACTGGAGATATCTAGTCAGCCATTATGGAAGCCTTTATGATAGAGACATTGAAGAAGAAAAAAAGAAACCCACTAAATCAGAGGACTTTGTATTCAAAGAACTGTTTCTACTACATTTATTTATTTTTATTTTTTATCTTTGTATATGTGATGTATGCACATGTAATGTATATATATGTTTGTATGTGAGAGTGTCATGGTGTATGTATGGTGATCAGAGGACAACCTCAGGTATTGGTTCTCACCTTCCATACTATTTGAGACCAGGTCTCCTTGTTTGCTGCTGCATATGCCAGACTGGCTGGCATAAAACCTCCAAGGGTCCTCCTCTCTCCATCTCCCGCCTCACTGTAGGCGCTATCATGCCTGACTTTATATGGGTTCTGGAGACTAGAATTCAGGTTGTCATGTGCCTACAAAAAGCACTTTATCCACTGAGCCTTCTTTCTAGGACTCTGTGTCTTATATATGTAATAGGATGTTACTTTCTTCAGTTTTTTTCCTGTTTAAAAAAAAGAGTGCAATGAAAGAGAAAAAATAATTAAATATCAAATGGGAGAATGGAAGTTTCCTGAAATAAAGAGTATAAATCTACAGACCAGAAAGAAATTGCATCAACAAATAAAGAATTAATAAA